CAAAGGGCATAATTCCATGATACCTTGCAGTGTTGTCCCATCTGAAGTCCACACAAGTGCACATCTTGATCCAAATAACGATGACAAACCAAACCAATGTTTACAATAATTGATTATAATAATAATGGTCCTTGAAAAGCAATTCTAATTAAGAGACCTTTCAAAAATTGAAAAAGAGCACGAAAGGAATCTAAAATCAATACATTTTAAAATGATTTATAATGATGATGATAATTATGATTTTTTTTTTTACCGTTGCTCACTTCAGAATAATTTAGATTCAGCCCAACTTTAATTTACGTGTAGCAAACTGATGAGAGTATTGCTCTAATATCAATCAATCTACCACTCCTCTAAATTGTGCGACTTTTAAAATTTCCTCCTGCAGAAAATTGCATTCTCAGATCGTCACCTTCCGGTCAAAGTATCACAAGCGCCATGCGACGTTTCAAAATTTCCGCCGTTATTTTATTTTTTTTACGGAGACACTGTTCAACAAAGATTTCCGAAAATTTCACTGAATTTTCTTTGTGGTGCCGATAAAATTCAGTAAAATTTTCAAACAGATTCAACCAATTATTTTGTTTTCAATAAAATCAAATGGCGACGGAAATTTTGAACCGTCGCATGGCGCTCGTGATACTTTAACCGGCAGGTGACGAGATATGCACCAAGAAACTGTGCGAGAAATGTGGAACCTGCCGCTGCCGCCATGGCGTTACGGACCTCGAACGCCGCGGAGCTTTTGTTGGAAGTTCGTAAACAGTGGACACCAGGCGGGGACGTCGGTTACGTGATGTAGAAAGTGCAACGGAGCATTGCGTGGTGGACAACTTTTCGCACCGCTATTCGGAGCCGCTTAAGAGCACTCTGGGTCGTTTTCCCACACTGCTCCGACCAGACCGTGCCCGCGTGACGTCAACAGGGATTATTCAAGTGACGGAGTAGCCTGTTGTCGAGACTTGGTTTATTTTCGGAGGCGAGTCCGAATACGGAAGCTCCCGCACTGCGATTATTTTGAATTGGATCACCGGGTCAGTGGCATTCATTCTGAGCTGGTGCAAGATTATGCATTTTATAGACCGGCCGCAAAAACTGCAACCAAAGTTCTCACGGAAAACGGAATTTTTAGTTCAACAATTTTAGTTACTACTACTAATAAGTCACTCTTATAGCGCTTCTGTGCACTCTGCGACTGCCACTGACAGCGATCTTGCCAGAGCTCCTCCGGCAGATCGCATCTCCTCATTCCCTGCCTTATTCCCTCAATCCACGATTTGGCAGGGCGATTTTTTGGCACGATTTTAGTCAAATTATGTCCAAAAATCTGATTTTGAGATTTCGAGAAAAAGTGCTCTTTGATGTCCCTAATAATGCTCGTAAGATGAGGGAAAGCACCATATTTTTGAACCATCAATGTGACTTTTTGGCCCAAAATATTTTTAGAACTTCCCTCTCTGTTTCGGTTGTAAATACTTTTTGAGTTTTTCTAGACTAAGGTCCCCTTTTTTGAGCATGGTCACGTTTTGACAATAATGAAATGTGATACAAACTTGGAAGTGTTAAAGAGGTTTTGAAAAAAAAATATATAAGAAGTAGAATCCTATTAATTCACTAGTTTCCATACCTGGGAATGAATTCTGTAAAAAAATTAAGTGGCATGTTTTTACTTTAAAATCAGATAATAAGAGTAGTTTCCGTCACAATTTTTAAATTGTGCTTCAAGCTGGTTTTGCTGCGGCCACAGAAATGCAAAGTGCACACTTCAGCTCACATATAAAATCTATATTTTGTCTCGGTAATGTAAATTATAAAGAATCGTAACTCAGAAAGTAGCTTTACATTGAAGCTGACGTATTTCCTTAAAATTGTCTAATAAAGTATCAACTATAGGACATGTTTGTGAAATTTCTATAGTTCTAGGAAAGGGGCCAAGCATACGGCCTCCTTTTTTTTTNGGGGGGGGGGGGGGGCTTCGCATTTCACAGCTGTTTTCCTTAAACAATTTCAGCTTAAATAATTCTTCATGTTTTTAATTCGATAAAGAGGAAAAAGCAATACAAGGCATCGTTTTGCTAAAAGACTACATTAATCACTTTGCTTTCTGAATACCATAAGGATCCAAACGAAAACAGTTAAAATACACAGAGAAGCAAGCAAGCTTTGTGTTTGAATTTTATTCAAATCAATCACCGAGAGAGTCAACAATTAGAGGCAAAATTCACCATCTCGCGTGAAAAATAGTCAACGAGGTTCTTCAACTTCTTTTTCTGAATTTAATATTCGTTATGTCCATCTGATTTCATAGTGCCTGAGGATCGTATAATCCATATTCACCAAATAGTTTGGGTCACCTGTTACGCAATCACACGTCAATGAGCCGTCTTTGAGCCACAATCTTCATATTTATTCTCAGCCTACCCCGGGGTGAATTTCATATTTATGCGGATAAACTACACGCTTCAATTCATGGCGCGAAAACAAATTTCCCTGATATTACTTTAGCATTTCAAATGCCGCAAAAAAGGCGGCTGTGTTGAAGGTCAATCCATTTGGTGACCGGTATACCTTTGCAGCCCTTTTTGCCATTTTGTAGGATTGTGCGCTGATAGTCATGAGACTTTTTTTCCATCGATTCTCGAGATGGGAGGGAGCTATTTAACAAGAGCTTTGGTTTTCGGCACAATTTTTTCAATTCCAAGACTGATTAGGTAGCGACGGAGTTTCGTGATGTAAAAACAATTTATTTAAATTAATTAACATTCTTGAAGAATGTGTATACCTGGTAGAGTTAAAAGTCCCAGCTTTGAATGATGAACCATCCTTAAAACCCGAAGGCTCAGCAAAAACATCCGTCAAAATAACTTAAAAGGCGTTCACTGACAAATTTTTATTTGGATTTTATTTTGACTTAAAACGTCGTTTCTTGTCAACAATGTTTTGTTCTTTAAGTTAAATCCGCGTGGATTTTAAGCGTGGATTTTTAAGCGGATTTTAAAGTGATATTTTCAACTTATTCATCACAATTTGACTTGTGGCGCCCCCCCCCCCCCCCCCCCCCAGAAGTTCTTGTCACTATGACAAAACGGAATTTTAATTTTTTCGGNATGGCTTGTATCCCTGAGGCTAGTTTAAAATTCGTCCAAGACTCCGGTTAGTCAGGCATTTATTTTGAGAGCTATTTGCACTGTGAGACACCTGTTTCTATTCGCGATTTCCGTTGCGTGCCTTCTTCTTTTATTTTTATACCCGGCAATGCTGGAATGTGGGTACCCAGACTTGTTGACTCACCCAGATTAAAAGCTCGGTCTGATTCTGGCGTGGCTCACAGATCCAGATCAGCCGGCTGGCGGTGACACGTTCAAGGCCGAACTTGGTCAAATTCCTGCCTAATGCCCCGTCCACTAGATCAAGGCGCTTTCTTCCTTGATGTTACGCTGATATTGGGCGGAATCACGATTCACGAGATGCTCGTCTTTCGTGTAAATTATTCATTTTTCGATCGACTTGAACTTTTGAACGTCCATGCTCGCCTTCAGTCTCGTTCGCGTCGCCCGTGTCTGGTATGAGACGCCTTTGTTCATTTATGATCTCCAATACTGCCGTGCTAAGGAAAAAAACCGTACGAGCTTCCAGACACTGCCAAATTTCCTTCGAAAAATCATGAATTTCTGGGAATCATGTACCTAATTTCCTTTCAATTTTTGAGAGAATTTTGTTCGTGACTTATCTGAAATGTCTGATGATCTCAAGAAAAAACATTAATAACTTCCTTCAAAAATAAATTTTTTCTAATAGTAAATTTGGCAACATTAAAATGTTCATACGGCATTTTTCCTCAGCATAGCAGAATAAGGATAAGATTTTACACAACTCCCGCTACAATTTTAAGAGATCTCGTATTCTTTGTCAAACAACGGCATTCTGAAACCTCCATATTCGCACCGCATCCTCATTGATCCATCATCATTCCTCACATTCCACGGGTGGTCTCTGATACTCGGTGGGTTCATGAACGGTACGAATTTTAAAGTTCATCATGCTGTTCAAGAACTTAAATGGATCGAAACCTTGACTGCGGAATCCTGAGACGGATCTCACTTAAAAGCTCGCCTCTAGGTGAGTGTTTCAAGGAAGGCATTACTCTTGAATAACAAGGTAGTGCAAGAGACGTTGTCTCAAAGCTGTTGAAAGAGCGGCTATTTTAAGCGTTAATTGTTCGAGGTAAATCCACCGCAGCTAGTTTAGCTTAGCTTCGAACGGTGAGACCTTCCTGTCGCGTAAACACGAATTTTACTCCTGCATCGGACACAGTTGTTTCTCAAAGTATGGTGGGTTATCGTACCGCCCGGCTGACTATCAAAAATGCGCAGTTAGTTTTTGGCAAAATGTGGCCAAACGGTTCCCAGCGAAGGAATTTTCTTTAAATTGCCACAACGGCTGTTGGAATATTTCCTTTTTGAAGGGGATAAAGATTGTAAGCAATATGTGACACAAATCCGTAAACAGACTTTTTCTGCAAAATGACTGTTTTTGGCCTAACTTGGAAATTGAAGGCGAAATATAGCAATGTGAGGGACGTTCATATCCTCTTCGTGTCAAATCTACCTCTTCTACATGTTTAAGTAGAAAACGTTTAACAAAAACAAATCCTCTGCTTATCATCCCTCATTTGGACCCAGTTTATCAGAAAGGAACCGAAGCACATTTTCGAAAAAATTGAGTAAAGAATATTTTCCAGTTCCACTAGCCATACATTTTCTCCTGCCAAAGACTGACCAAGACTTGAAAAACTGAAATTAGTTTGTAGAGAGAAGAGTTAAAATGTATTTTCTACATTGAGCCCTATGCAGGAATAAAACTTCATACCTCTTCTTCTCAGTTTCAACTTAATGTGGGCTGATTCCTTTTTGATGAACTCGGTCCATTTAGTACCTCCTAGAGCGTCCCTTGACCTTTCTCATTGAGTAATTTCCTAATTAGTTTTCGTTTTGTTACAGGTGTTAGCAGCTTGCTTGGTAGCAGCATGGGCTCAGCAGCAGCAGGTACAGCGAACGACCCCAGTGCCAATCCTGAAGCAGATCAACCGACAGAATGAGGACGGCTCATACAGCTACGGCTACGAGTCGGCCGACGGAACGTTCAAGATCGAGACCAAGTACCCGACCGGGGAGGTCTACGGCAAGTACGGTTACGTGGACGCTGACGGCAAAGTACGCACCGTAGAGTACGGCGCCTCCAAGAAGGGCGGATTCAACCCGGCCGGCACCGACATCAACGTCCCGCCGCCGACCCTCGTCAACAACAACAACCTCGCCGACAGCGACTACGACGACGGATCCTACAGGGAGGACCCCAGCATCTACTACAAGAACGACCCCAACTCCGCCCCCGCTGCCCCCGTCCAGCAGGCCAAGCCCCTCAAGGCTAGGTAAACCAATTGTTTCTTATTTAAACGTCGTCATATTTCACCAAAAGTAGTGCCTCGGGGGTAGTCTGTTAATACACACGGTATTAGAGTATTGAGTATCCGTGAAGAGATGAAGAGATTCCAGCTTCCGGAGGTTCTCGACCATGTCAGATTCCTGTGGCGGGTAGGTGTCGCAGAGCGTCCTAGCGCGCCTTAAAAGCGGCTTATACATACACACATTAGAGTATTGGTCAACTGCTTGTCCGGTATGGTCATGTTACAAGATGACGGAAGAGAGGATGCCGAAGAAGATACTTGATTGGGTTCCTCTTGGCAGGAGATGGAGGGGACACCCAAAGAAAGGGTAGCGATAGGGGGTTTTAGAGGAAATGGGGGGGGGTGCCAACTCCCTGAAGGGCTTTGGGCGGATAGGGGAATTTGGCGGCTGGCTGTCGCAGATCGCCGAGGAGTGCCATAAAAGTGGCTTTTATGTATGTATTCGGGAGGGAAGACAGGATATGTAGAAAACCACCTTACGGATGCCCTGGAGCAAGCAATCCTCGAAACCGAGCCAGTCTCTGTACTTTATATTGTGTATCGTCATCTAAGTGCAAAATGTAACTGCTGAGTGCTTCTCTAATACCCACATATTAGAACATTTTCGATTGTTTTTGTTTCTCATGGGGAATTATAAACGGATATTTAGATGACTTATGGTCGAAGGTAGTCAAAGTTCTGATTGCAGTTACCATAAACCTAAAACTCCTTCAGACCATCCACCAAAGTATGGTAAATGCAAAAAATACTTAAATTACCCTCATCAGAAAGTCCACTTTCATCCTAAATGGAGTAGACTTTACAATATACTTTCTATTTCCCTTCTCTCCGGGCTTTTATGAGACTTAATTGACAAGAACTTGATATTCTTCCAGGTTCAACAACGCTCCAGTGACGCAAGCACCAGCTTTCCGCCCTCAGCAACAACAATTCCCTCAGCAAACCACCGGACAGAGCTTGAGCTGGTCCGCACCCGCTCAGTCCAGAACCGCATGGTCCGCGCCTGTAGCCCAACCTCAACCTCAGCCCCAACCTCAATTCCAACCTCAACCCCAACCCCAGGTGAACTGGGCTCAACCAAGCGCCTACGCCCCACCCAACTACGATCTCTTCAGAGGACACCCTGCAGCCAACATTGACCCCATCACCGGCTCATACTCTCTCCAGTACGTAGGATAAGTCATGCGGCCTAAACCTGCGCTATGGCTACCGCTGAATTACTGCGGTAGTGCTGCCCTCTAGTGTTCATCAGAGACACCATCTTTACGAAGAAGACGAAATTATTTCGGAACTGATTGATATACATTTTCCACGTTCTTAGTGGTAATTTGCTTGTTTAATGTTCGATGACCCTGGTGGGCACTGAGAGGCACAGCCTGTGATTAAAGACTGCTAGATTTACCACTAAAGTCGAAGAGCGTCAAGAAACCACCTTTTTTTTGAACATCAAATTTACCAGTCATATTAAATTTCTTCAAACATCCCCAATGTTAAGATAAATGATTCCCTTTTAAATCCAGAGGGGAAATTGTATCTATCGGTGCAGATTTCTTACAAGCTAAGGATTCTTCGACTTAAAAAAACGGGTCGTTTCTTACGCAAATTGGCAGCTAAGATTCCGTGTTTCATAAATGCCATGGAAGTTCTTAATTTGTAGGAGAATATACTCTGTACCATATAAAATTTGAAAAGTTCATTTTTATTCAGTCAAAGATTTTTTACTCCAGTTCTTCATGACTGAAGAATAAACTAGTCTTGTTATTTTCAGTATTACGCTGCAAGCTCTCACTTCTGTGGCTCTTAGATAAGAGCTCAGAATTAGATTTCATCTGATGTCCCCTTATTTTGTAAGGGGTTGTAAACATCTTAAAGGATTAAAAATTAGGAAGTCCTCCTCTGAAATTTTAATCTCACCTGTATAGTATCTTTCCTTTTTTTTATGAAGAAAAAATGAAGAAAGAAAGTATCAACAAATCTTGTTATTGTACACTTTTCCCATCAGAAAACTTCCGAATTAAGGAGTATGCTTAGAAATATATGTAATTTTTATGAAATATTAGAAAATTTCTGATAAAACTGACACAAAATAAAAAATATACAACTTAAAAAATGAAAATCATTTGTGTTAGTAAAAAGTTAATACGAATAAATCTAAAATAAAATATGAAAAAAATTCATATAGATATCCGAATTTCAAAGAGAATATCTGTATTCCTACAACTCATTCATAGTAGATTTTTCCTTTTACTCTCTGTGCGTACAATTTTTTCTCCTCGTGCGATTTTAGTCTTTCTCTACTGAAGTTGCCTTTTATAATTTTCAAATTTTTTTATAAGCTTTGTAACTTTGTACTCCTTATATAACATTTTCTGTTTTGGTATTGTATACGTAATTGATTTTGAAACCGTAGCAGCTGATATTTTTACATGTTTATTCCCTGTCAACCCCGTGATAGATCATTGATAAATTTCAGTATTGTTTTCTTTCTACTTATTTATTGCTGTTGATACTTTTCACTTTATTTTCTATACGAAGCATTTTCTGTAAATAAAGTTTAGATTAAGTTCCCAAGAGTATGTTTTATTTTATTGCGAAGAACCCTCTATATTTCATAATTTCCAGAAAAGTTTCTAGTGTTTGATGTTTCACATCAACAGCCGAATGAAACAATTAAGATACTTAGTTTTTTTAATAATTGGGCATATGTTACCTAATTCCATTATAAGAAGAATCTTACTATTTTGTGATTATGGACGTACAAGTAACACCATAACTCTCCATCCATTGTTCTATTGAAAATTTCTATCAAAACTTCATAAGCAGCAGTAAGAGTGTAATTTAGACTGACGTGCTCCAGAATTTTCAGGAAAATTGAATCTGATCACTTGACTTCCTCCTTGAATTTTATCTAATAAAATGTTGAAGAAAATGAATATTAATATGAATGTGTCTATTTCCTGTTTGCATTGTACACTTTCATCAGAGAGCAGATTTTTATGAGGAATGTACATAAGTGCGGGCATTTTTCTTGAAAGCACCGGTGGGAGTGGATGTTGACCATAAAAGTAAGGAATTAAGTAAACTTGTGAAATTAAGAGTTAGGAAAATTTCAGGTTTGATTTTGGGTAAAAATTTGAAACAAAGTTAGAAATGTGCCAAAGCTGATCTTCAAAGGTAATAACTTATAGATTAAGACTCTTTTCCACTGGTTTCTTCGTTTATTCTGCACTTCAAACCATTAATTTGCGTATTTATGAGATACCTGGATTAAAAGTATGACTGTCGTCAATAAATACCAGACATTTCTCATACAGGGACTTTCCCTTAAATGCATCAACAGAAGATCATCATTAAGGAGCAATCTGATGTCTTCGTTTTCACTAGTCCGGAGATGTACCGCAAAATTTTACTGCTTCCATCGAGGCTCATTTGTAGGGGAAAATAATTATCTTTCTGTAAAGGTGTTGGAAGAGAAACTGTTTTTCACCATGGCTAACTGGACTGGATGAATAGAGAGTCGTCTAGTCATGAAATGGTTAACTTTTCTACCCGAGCGGTTGAGTCTCCAAAGCTGTTTTGCGTGTTTCCGACTCCTTAGAACTTCAGGGTGAGGGATTAAAAATTTCAAATTTTACATAAACACTCCCACATCAAAGAGTAGACTGTGAATAGGGAAATGTTAAAAATAATTTTAAAAATCAAATAAAAAATCAGACAGAAGTCAATGTTTCAAAACTGTATAATTGCGGAATTTTTCTAAAGATACAATGATTTTTTTTTTTTTTTTTTTAATTTTTTTTTATTTTTATTTTTGAGGCGAACGTAGAAAGCTAAAATGAGCATTTTTTTTCTCACAAACATTCAAATCGACATGAATAAAGCCAACAATAGTTATAGAAACGAAGAAGATTAGCCAACGAACGAAGCCAAACACTTCATTTAAACAGAAAATATTTCATTTTGACCAATATTGAACACGTTATTGCAGGCTGCCGGTTTAACACTTGAGCACTCTGTATAAGGAGTACAAGTACTTCTGAATAAATCCTAGGCCATAAGTGGTGTCCATGTAATGTTCAGCCTATGGGCTGATTATTGAAATTGATAGACAGTGTGATAGACAAAGAAGACATGGGGGAACATGGAGTGATCCTTTTGATTGAAACGGGTAGTGAAGGAGGAGATTGATGGATTAACTATGGGGTCTCTCGTGAGTTACCGGTAGTTTGTCTATTACATACCTCTTTTGTCCATTACAACCACCTGTTTCCACTAATGGGATCGCTTTATTTTCAGATTGTCCTCTTTGTCTATCAATTTCAAAAATCAGCCCGCTGGAGCTGAAAATGGATTGCGTTGAATGTGATACGTTTAAACTCTCCCAATTGCGCCAGCCAGTCAGGATATGTCATTATGATAGCGAGTCTGTTCCAGCTTAAGAGATGGAATGGCAAAGTGCTAAAGTACAAGTGATAAAGAAGGGCGTGAACTGGGAAACAGTAACTTATGTGTTACGGAACGACGTTGGCGCAGGTGAAGTTGTTTAATCTGCTTGGAGCTGATTTATGATTGATCTCGACTAGGAGGACCCACGACCACATCTACTACTCTAAGGCAAACTGGATGCCAAGATAGTTTAATAGGGCATTGAATTCTGCTCCGCGGGTGACTTATTTTTTGGTTACTGATCCGCATTTGAATCAGTGAGTTCGAAAACACACCAACTCGGCAACTCGAAACTGCTTAATTTTCATAAGAGACGGTCAATTTTTATAAAAGTCATTGAAGTTAGCGCATCTGTTCCAACTTGGACCTTTAAAATGCCATTAAGTGCTTGTATTTCGGCACCGAAAATTTCTTTCTTAGACTAATTTCTTCATTTACTGTCCGGTTTCGTGTGTGTCTTGATTCTTTTCATTTTTCCGAGTTGGTATGTTTTCGTTCTCACTGATTCATTTGGATATGGCACTAAACAAACCACAAATCGAGGGCTAAGGAACATTACTGTCTAACTGACAATTTTGGCGAAAATGAGTTAGTGACTTTGCCGCGCGTTCTTCAGGTGTTTAGTATTTTTCAAATTCCGCATGGAAGCGCTATAATGTATTAAAAAAATAGCAAATCCATCCTCTACATAACAGAAATGGAGAAATTTCTACTCTCTCCTGCCAAATCGTTAATTTGCAGGTAGGCAGTATTGTTTCTTAGCCATCAATATCGAAATATCTAGAGTTTTGGAAAAAGATTTCTGTATGCGCATAGTTTAGTATTTCAAACATACCGTCGTTTCCCCTGCTAAAAGGACGTAAGTACACTTCAAAGTCCTAATACTCCCCATTCCAGGGCCGGATTTACCTACTTGCCACCCATGGGCCGCCTGTATTTTGCCGCCCCCTTCTCATTCGTATTGAAACATCAATAAAAACCATCAAGTGAACGTGCCAGAGGAGTAGGGGTGCATAAGACGCGCTTACTCGTGTTGAACACATTTTTGGGGGATGCCCTGTCAACACTACTAGCAAAAGTTAAGTTTTGTAAACCTATCTCTGTGTGGACAAGGCCTTCTATTCATAAGAAATGAACGAAAAAGTTATGAAAGAGCAATCATGAATGTGGTTTAATGATTTTAACTTCCGCCGCCGCGCCAAGCAGACCGCACCGTGTTTGGCGCAATGCGTCAAGTATTTACGCAGTCTTGTAGGCGCCATCATGGCGCCGCCATGCGTTTCACGCTGACCACACTGTGTTTGGCGCAATGCGTGAAGTATTCATGCATTCTTGTAGGCGCTATTCGTTTCACGCTGGTCGCAATGACCACACTGTGTTTGATGCAATGCGTGAAGTATTCAGTGCAGTCTTGTAGGCGCTGATATGTGTTACATGCCGATCGCCGCGCCGATGGCTTCTCCTCTTCATCTCAAGTCCTTGTCATCATTGCTCTCTGCGCCGCTCCGTTCCAGGCCAAATTGCATGTATGGTTTCTCTCTTAACTCTACTAATCAAAGGTGCTGTCTCTTGTATCACTGAAAGACGACAAAATTAAAAATTACTACACTTTCAGGGTTTCAGAGATTTTGTCGCCTTTTCTCGTTTGTAATTTTTTTTCTAAATTCGATATTTTTTTATACCTACTTTTAAAAAAATTGCAAAATTTGCCGCCCTCTAGATTTGCCGCCATGAGCCGCGGCCCATATGGCCACCCCCTTAATCCAGCCCTGCCTTATCCTACGTTGTGCTTCTACGAGGAGACTGTCAGGGATTTTTTACGAAAATTTTACATTGACTTCTCCCCTGAATACATACAAAAAAGTAAGGTATTGATCAGAGATGGAACCCTAAGATTTCCGTAAAAATTGATTCTTTTGTGACAATTTTGCGAGAGAACAAAGAGAGAGAAATAGGAGAAATAAAAATAAAGATTTAGACTGGGTAAAAGAAGAGAACAAAATTGAATATGAAGAAAAAATGGAGGGCAGCAGCCCCACAAATATGAAGAAAAATCGAGGAAACAAAAGCAAAAGAAAATGAGTAAGAAGAAGAAGAAGATGCTCGTACCTTTATGGACGAAAAAAAAACAAAAAAAAAACAGTGGAGCACGGTGAAATAGAAGAAAAGTCTGATTCTTGTTCCTCTTCTTCTTCTTCTTCTTCTTCTTCTTCTTCTTCTTCTTCTTCCCCTATCCCCATAGCCCTTTATCCTATTTGACACATGTTTGGAGTCCTAAACTAATGCATAAACGCCTTTTTCTTTCTTTTGTTTAATAACTTTCGGTGTTAATATTATTGGTTCGCAGAATTCTCTCTATTTTTAGAAAATCAGTTTTAGAATATATAATTTAGGCACCATCTGAGCATTATGCAAATGTCGAATGAAAAATATTCATTGCTAAAGGATTTCCGGCATTTATAATCATCACGAGGACTAAGATGAGTTTGAAATTCTCAGTGGGCATTGAACGAAAAGGTTATTAGACCCTCAACTCTTATGATGTGCATTGAATCATCCCGAAGGGTGAATCATGCGCCATGAATGAGCCTTGAATTTGTTGTTTCCGTCAGGTCGTTTGCTCT